TGCTTCACGGTGAGGGTGACCAAGCACTGGGACAGGCTGCCCAGAGGTTGTGGAGTCTCCTTCTCCAGAGATACTCAAAACCTGCCTGGATGCGATCCTGTGCAACCTGCTCTAGCAGGGGGGTTGGTCTAGGTGATTCCAGAGGTCCCTTCCAACCCCTACCGTTCTGAGATTCTGTGGATGTCTTCCAGGTCATGCTTTTTAGCTTTTCAAGAAACAAACTCCTAACTTCATTTAAATACCGACTGTCTATTGCTTGTTTGCCCAGATTCAAGGCTTGCAAATGAAATAACAAAGTACTTTATACATATATATATGTATATGCGTGTATATATACACACACACGTATATTTGCTTTTGTCGTGGTTTTACCCCAGCCGGCAGCTGAGCACTACGCAGCCGCTCGTTCACTCCCTCCCCCTCGGGCTGGGGGAGAGAATTGGAAGAGTGAAAGTGAGAAAACTCGTGGGTTGAGATAAAGACAGTTTAATAGGTAAAGCAAAAGCCGCGCACACAAGCAAAGCAAAGCAAGGAATTCATTCCCCACTTCCCATGGGCAGGCAGGTGTTCAGCCATCTCCAGGAAAGCAGGGCTCTGTCATGGGTAACGGTTACTTGGGAAGACAAACGCCATCACTCCGAACGCCGCCGCCCCTTCCCCCAAGCTCCTTATAAACTGAGCATGATGTCGTATAGTATGGAATATCCCTTTGGTCAGTTTGGGTCACCTGTCCTGTCTGTGTCTCCTCCCAACTTCTTGTGCACCCCCAGCCATCCTGCAGGCAGGGCAGTGCAAGAAGCAGAAAGGCCTTGGCCCCATGTAAACACTGCTCAACAATAAGTCCATAGAACAAAAACATCTCTATATTATCAATGCTGTCTCCAGCACAAATCCAAAACGTATCCCCACACTAGCTACTATGAAGAAAATCAATCCTCTCAGCTGAAACCAGGATAGCTTTAAACTTTGTTTTTAGTATTTTTTTTACTGCGTGTGGCTTTTTTGTAGTTGTCACTCTAGAAATCCTGGAAAGTATTTAAATGCTTTAATATTATTTATAGTATTTAATTATTTATAGTATTTAATTTTTGGTTGTTTGGTGGGTTTTTGTTTGAGCAGTGAGGTGTTTGGAGTTAAATGAGTTACATATGGTCTTTGGAAAAAGTACGATGTTCTGTAGGAAATATCACTGCAGGAAAGCAATACAGCAGTTCTAATTCTAGGTACGATGTTGTGACTGAGCTGCACCTGGAAAAGTCATTTCATGTAAACTTGGGCGAGAGTAGGCCAAATACTCTCTTACAATAATAGTATTTTCCGTTATATCTAATTCATCTTGTTGTTTTGTGTTCAGGTTCAGTGTGGTGATTTCCCTCATCTGTTGGTGTATGGACCATCAGGAGCTGGAAAAAAGACGAGAATAATGTGTTTGTTAAGGGAATTGTATGGTGCAGGAGTGGAAAAACTGAGGATTGAGCATCAGAGTATAACGGTAAAAAAACCTGAAATCTCCCATCTGCTGCAAAATAATGTCGATTTGTATATACTGATATATTTCTACTGTGAGGCCTTTATATTTGAGTTTTTAAATTTTTTTCTTCCACTCAGTATCTTCAAGCTCTCTTACATAATTAATCAAACTAGTTTGGTTACTGAAACAAATGCTTTTCCAGATATTCTTGTTCTTTAGGTCTTCAGAGTGAGAGGATGTGGGATATTTTTTTGTTGTTTTCTGTGGTTATTCGATGGCTTTTATGTTTGGTGTTTTCTGTTGTGGGTTAGTTCCGCCCCCCACCCCCAGTTTGGACAATAGCATGTGTTGTAATAGACTAGCTTTCAATTAGATATATAGAATTTAATTTGTCTGTAGAAGTAACGCTTATTTTTTAAGTGATTAGCACTGCTCTTCTCATATATGCAAGTTCTAACTTGTTTTCTTATTCCCACAATGACCAGTTCAGGAAAAAATAGAATTTAAATTATATCTACTTTGGTCTTAGACATTTGATTGATTATTATTAAAAGGTTATAATATCCATTCAAAATCCTTGTTGTGGATTTCTTAACCAGCAAGGGTTTATCAACGTTTATTGATAAGTAGGTTATTTTATGCTTGCTTTTTAATTCTCAGTAGTGGAACAAATATAATACTTGGATTGGATGATAGCAATAATAGGGTACATGTAACTGTTCAGACCCATATTCAGTGGTGATATAAATACTAGTGTTTTCTTTAAACCAAGTATAGACTTGAAATCTTTTGCCAAGAGAAGTGAACAGCCTCTTCAGGCTCGTCCACAGATTTTCCCTCCAAAATTTTTCTTTGGAGGGACAAGTTATCAGTTATTTTGAACTGCTGATTCTAATAATAAGATTTCTTGTTAGGAAACTCAGTAACTGGAGTATGCAGTAATACTTACTATGTGTTGCTATAATAATCATTACTGTTATTATTCTACAGGCTTGATGATGTGTCAGTACCCCTTTTCTCCTTTGGGGATCGGGCTGGGGGGATAGGAGATGTGTAAGTCTAGTGTCTCGGCAGTTCTTTGATCTCTGAGACTTTTAGTTTGCCTGTGACCTAGGCAGTTGTAATCTGTAAGATAAATTCATGCATCAGATTTTTAGAACGCTCTTTCTGAAACGTAATATGCTTACTTTCTACATAGGCACCTTCTAAAAAGAAAATTGAAATTAGCACCATTGCAAGTAATTATCACCTTGAAGTTAATCCAAGGTAAGTGTACAGTAAAAATGTCCCACTTCAAATATAAGCTGGTAATATTGCAAGTGGTTGCAACCTGGGTATATAAGGGCCTGATTGCCCAGTTTATTGCCTGAGGAAATTAGATAATGGTTTATGTGTTTGGACTGCAAATGGGAGCATGGAAAGGATTTTTAATTGAACAGCTCTAAATGAACAAAGTTTGGATGGCTGTATACTAAAGACAGTAATGTTCTGCATAACTAGCCACGTAAGCATGCTGATGTTGAGTACTGGGTAACAAACAATTCTGGATTCATAGGTTTAACCATTTAGGTTGAAATTGAGAACTTTTATTTGAACCAACACCCCCATATTGTTCTCTCACAAGTACAAAAGTAAAGTGATTTGAAAGTAAGCAAGGTTTATCCAGTAACTCTTAAAATAAAGAGTTCAGAGCACTGGAAAAAAAACCATCACAAAATACTGGGAATCCTGTCATGAGCAAGGTCAGGTGTTGATTTAAATGACAGAAGCTATAATGGTGTTCTGTATGTTGTCTTTGACAATTGTGAAATTGCTGGTGATAGTTCACTGACCCAAAGTAAATACTTGTATTTACCTGAAACTCTTTAATGTTGCTTTAAATCACATGAGAGTAAATGTCATTGTGCACTGGGAGGCTTTGGTTATGTTGGCTTTTTTGTCTGGGTTGTACTTATAAGAGAATGTGTATCCTGAAGTAACTTTTAGCTTTGTGCTTATTGCTAAACCTTTCTCATGTTGCTCTGCATTTTAGAAGCTATTCTCATGGACTGTGTCTCCTTCAAAACCTTGTTCTGCAGCTAATCTCTGTGTATTGATTAGTGAATATCTGCTGGAATTCTAATACAGACCCAAATAATTAAAGCTTAGACTTTTATTGGTAATTAACTGTTTGAATATGTCATTTTGGTCATATAAAATGTCTGACCGTTCAGTCTTCTTCTCTGATAACCTAATACTACTAATACTTCTATTACTCTACATAGAGTACTTTTAGCTTGAAACTTATAAAATAATTGCATTTAAAAATCCTGAAAATGTAGAACTGCTGTATTGGTTATTGTATATAATAGTAGTGCTGAGTTTTGATCATGACTTAATATATTGATCAATATATTGATTCAAAGTGATCAAGCAATTGTCAAGTTTATGTCTGACCATACAGTGAACCTGCATGTGCTGTGCTATATATAGTCTGTGAAGTTTGAATTACAGTACTGTGAAATCATGTTGTGCATCTTGAGTAACATGGAGCATAATAAATGGCTACCAGAGAAAGGAAATTAACTTCTGGGAAGGACTCTGCAGACATTGAATTTATTATGGAATTTTATTAGAGCTGTTCTTTTTCCTCCAAAAGGAGGATATTGTCTGAATTCCAAAGTGTTGTCTGCTGGTCACTTGACTAGCTTGGGTAGATGCTTTGAAATGGGTTCTTTTGTAAGTGGGCAATGAAAGAATAAGGAACAACAAAAAAATCAATGTTTGTGTGGTAACTGCCTTTGTTCATTGTTTTCTCGGAATGTTTGGTGTGATCACATAACATCAAGGATGATCTTTCTCCCTGAAATTATAACTCTGGGTTCTCTGTTACTGCAGAGAATAACTTATCTTTAAATGTTAGGAAGCTATTTTAATCACTTTCGATTTCCAAAAACTGTCCTAGCTCATAAGTGGAACCAACTCGTTTTGTTTTGCTTTTTTTTTTGTGCTGTGATCACAGGTCAGCTCCCTTGCTGAAGGACAGATCTCTGCAGTCAAAGTCAGCATAGCCTTTTCAGCAGATTGTGAACTGTTGAGCCAGTATGCTTCTGTACATTCTGCTGCTGCCTCCTTGGCAAGAATGGAGGAGGTCTGGTTGAGTAGTGACTAGAACAGGACAGATAAATGCCTTTTTCATTTCCTTGCCAGGGAAATATTGCAGAGCTACTGCTGCCTCTGTGAAGGTAGTAGTCTGGGGATGCTAAAGTGCGGGGTTTTCCCCCTCTTTTTCCTTGTTTTTTCAGTAATCTAGCTTGCAAGTCAGTCCCCAGTGGTTGTCAAATCTGAGTCAAGCTAGCTGAGCTACTAACCTGGGGACTGAGAAAGCTGTGCAGTGCCACTCTAGGGGATAGTAAGGAGAAGCAGCAGGAAGGAAATCTAGTATTTCCCCATGTTTTCTTGCCTTCTAAGCAGGAAAATGTTAACAATTTGTGCTGTAATAGTATCTGAGTATCAATATTTTACTACTAACTCTTTAACTTCACTGCGTCTGCCATTCAAGTTTACATTAAGCGTATAGGTTGTTCATAGCATGACATCTAATTTTCAGGGGGAAAAAAACCCTATGCATTTACATCAGTCCTTGGAGTCAGGTGTCCTATTATTTTTCTTCCTGTAATGGGTAAAAATGTTCACATTGCATGTCTTTGCCCAAATCACAAGTAACAAAAGTTTAGATTTCTTATACTGGAAAAGTAAGTTCTAATTCAAGGAGTTAATAACACATTTGACAACAGTTTTACTGCTTCCCAGTATGGTGCTACTAATCCAGCTGTGCCTGCATAAGCTTGGGTTTGTTTTTATTATTGGGAAGGTAACTTTCAACAAGGTATTTGTGTTGAGCTTAATTCTAACCTCAACAGTTTCTGAATTCTTTTGGCATTCTTTGTTTAGTCAGTTGACCAAGAGGCTGCTTAGGAGGTTGTATTTTTTATATGCAGCATAAAGTTGCTTTAAATCAAGTTTTATTCAAACTCCTGGTACAGTGATGCAGGAAACAATGACCGTGTAGTAATTCAGGAACTCTTGAAGACAGTAGCACAATCCCAACAACTTGAGACAAGTACTCAACGAGATTTTAAAGGTGAGTAAAACCAGTTAAAACCAGTCAAAGTACTTTTTAAACTTGTTTTTCAGAGATTTCAGCTGACTGTTTTGTTTGTACCTGTATATTGCACGAGAGCACACATGAACCTTTCCCAAACTAACCTCCCACTTTTCTTCCACTGTGGAAATATCTTGAGTGGTTAAATACTTGGTATGAGGTTGTCTGTTGTGTTTGTTTTGTAGGAGGACAGGGTGTAGTTGAATGACTGTGGCTGGGCAGAGGGAGCTGGGG